CAATCACTTGCCTTACCGTTAAATGTCACAACACTACTATTAAATGTCGCAATATTTTAATTCATGTTGTATTATTACAATATTAACGTTATGTCTACTGTGTGATCTAGAGACTAGCTATCAATCAGATAGGAAAAGATTTGCTGTGAAGTCATCTTAGTCGCTGACCACAATTTTTGCCAAAAAGTCACTTACTGATAAAGCACATTTATACACATTTTTCATATAGCAACCCAGATATCGTGATTTTGAGCAACGACATTAGCTTGAAATGGATCCAATACTATGGAAAGCCTTGACTGGCTTATAATTATAAACCTAAACGTTTTTATGTCCATATAGCAATATATTGAGTCAACTTTCCTTATACAATGTGCACTCATTAATATATTATGTGGATCCATCTTTATATGTAGTCAACTGAACAAAATATGATGTCAACGTGCCTTTATATGATGTCAATCTATCATTGTACGTTGTGCATTTTTGAATATATTATGTGGAGCCATCCTTATATAAGGTCAAAACAACAATATACGTATGATGTCAATCTGTCCTTATATGATGTCAGTCTGTCATTATATGATGTGAAGTTATGAATATATTATGTGGAATAATTCTTATATAGAGTCAACATTATATGATGTCAACGCGTCCTTATATGATGTCATTCTATCATTATACGATGTGCATTTTTCAGTATATTATGTGAAACCATCCTAATATAGAGTGAACTTAACATTATATGATGTCAACACGTCCTTATATGATGCCAATCTTTCATTATACGATGTGCATTAATGAATACATTATGTGAAACCATTCTTATATAGAGTCAACTTAACAATATATGATGTGAATATGTCCTTATATGATGTCATTTTTTCATTATATGATGTACAATTACGAATATATTATGTGGAACCATTCTTATATAGAGTAAAAACAACATTATATTATGTGAAACCATCTTTATATAGAGTCAACTTAACATTATATGATGTCAACACGTCCTTATATGATGCCAATCTTTCATTATATGATGTGCAATTACGAATATATTATGTGGAACCATTCTTATATAGAGTCAAAACAACACTATAGTATGTAGAATTGTCTTTATATAGAGTCAGCTTAACACTATATGATATAATTTACTTTGAGTTTTCCCGCTGTTGCCACGAACGGTGCATAGTGAGATATAACCCGGTAAATTTAACCCCATCAGTATAATGACAGAAGCACACCATATAATGATGTTTGCACTTCATATAAAGCAGCGGTCGTATAACAATAGATGCACATCGTATAATGAAAGATTGACATAATATATTGATAAGTTGACTGTATATAATGATGCAACCACATAATATATTCATAAATGCACATCGTATAATAATAGATGCACATCGTATAATGAAAGATTGACATAATATATTGATAAGTTGACTGTATATAATGATTCTACCACATCATATATTCATAAATGCACATCGTATAATGATTGGTCGACATCATATAAAGACACATTGACATCATATATTGTTGAGTTGACTTCATATAAGGATGCATCTACATAATATATTCATGAGTGCACATAGTATAAAGAAAGAGTGACACAACAACGTTCATCTTTACAATCATAAGACAGTCAAGGCTTTTCATACAATACACCGAGAAGTTTATTCTAGTAAAAGGTTCAATTCAAAGTCAGGTCTCGGATCAGAATGTCTCATATTTTTGTCGGCCTTTCACCTATAAATATGTTTGCTTGTGGTTTTATCGATATTAAAGGTATTATCCTATATATTTTATTACTTTGCTCCAATCAGATGACAGCTTTACAAATTTCATTGATGCAATCATAACTTAAGGTAAGGTCACGTGTGCAAAATATCAACCCAGTGTGTCTTTCTTGAGAATGTTATTATGTAAACGTGAAAATTGAAATTGAAAAATTAAAAAAGTTCTGTTGTTTACATAGAATGAAAAGTAAAAATAAATCAAACTAAAAGTTTTCCGGTCGTTTCAAAATTTAATAGCAAACACAAAATGGCGTTATCTGATACACCTCTCGGTTTGCTTTCATTTTGTCTTAAGGCATAGTTGTGAAAATTAGCCTCTTTATCTATTACAATAAGAAAATGGCATGTTTTAAAGTATGCACTGTATTAAAAGGGCGGACAATTGTTTGTCCCCTTCTCGTATGAGAAGTGGAATCCCGTGATGCGTGTATGTAGTCGCACGGTCACTTTCCTTACATGTCTTCGATGCATGTATGTGGTCGAATGGTCGAAAATCTGTGATAAAATGGCAATGTTTTCTAAAAATATTTTGGTACGGAACCGTCTGGTGCAAAACCTTAATGTTCTTAAAAATGTTGAAATCGTAAAAAAGAGTTTTAAAAGCCTTATAAGGACTTGGTAGTGAGATTTAAAAGCCTTTTTGTATTTAAACTATTAAGGCCTTTACATGTTTACATTTGAAGTCTCAAAAACTTAAAAGTGGGAATAAAATTCTTATTTGTTGTTGGTAAAAAAAATAGTAGGAGGTTCAAGTCAAATTAGGTTAGTCTGTTGATCCTGCACCTAATTAAGATTATATTTCTCAACTCCTAATAATGTTTTTAATTTTTCTGTTTGGAATTTTTAACTTCTTTTTTAATAGTTTCAAAGTTATGATAAAGTTTATTATGAGTTAAAATCCTATTTAGTTCCGTACCAACACACCTTTGAAAACATTGTCTTTTCATTTAAGATTTCGACCATGCGACCACATACATGCATCGAGGACATAGTCTAAGGAAAGTGACCGTGCGACCACATACACGCATCACGGGATTCCCCTTCTCATACAAGAAGGGGACAAACAAGTGTCCGCCCTTTTATCAAGGGACAGACTAAAATCATGCCTTTTCCTTAATCTATAGAAAAGGAGGCTAATTTTCACAGGTATGTCTTGAATTGGTTTATATACAACAATATTAATGCAAACCAATTGGGTTGTAAGGTTACGTCCTTTTAAGTCTGGAATGAAATTTTAAAAATATCACATATAATTTCTTGGAAAGTTTTCAGTTTTAATTTATTTCTACTTTTTATTCTATGTATATAACAGAATTATTCTAATTTTGCAAAACATGAACGTTTCAAAAACGTTTTATATGCATCGAATATAGGTGATATATTTCACACCCTGTTTTCAAATATTAACGGTTAACCTGGGGGCATTTTTGCCAAAGTACGCTTTTAAAAAAATTTCTATATTGGACTTATTCTACTTGTAATAGAAAATGTATTGTGATGGGTTGCAAGAAAAAAAGAAGATTTAAATTGAGCAGCCGACAATTCTGACACTGGCAAGACTGTATATTTGCAAGCCTTTTCTTAACAGCTGAATTTATTAAATTCAATTTTCAAGCTCCCATTATTTTAGAACTATCAATCTGGGTATATCAAGACTGACATTTCTAAAGTTAGTCAGATCCGGTTCAGTTTCTTTAAAATGGTAAAAATCATTTCGGCTCCAGTATTAAAGGTGCAGTGTTGTAAACAGTAGTCATATGTACAAATAAACTCATTCAAAATTTAAACAAATTCTATTATACAGTTTCCAATCTGCCTCTGTTCATGTAATTGTAGCATGTTCCTTTAAAGCTGCACGCCTCCAGATGAATCAAAACCTTTCAAGAAAATCAAACTTGAGAAAAAGTACTTTGATTTATAAGAACAGTAAAAAAAGTTCAAGGTATGTGAAGTTGGCTTGTACATTGTATTTCTCACCATATTTCTAATGAGTTACTTACGCAGTAATGGCTATTTTTGCATATTTTGACCTCTTCTTTTTGCTGATTTACATGGGTTGTCAGTGCTGTATCCAACATGAATATAATTTCCTTTGTTCACTTAACAATATTTTAAAACATTTTCAAAATTTTCATAAAAATTTGCATGAATCTGGAAACATGCTGCTTTAAACTTTATCATATAAGCGTGGTATCCTAGTCAAGCTTTACGTTATAGACGCGTCATTTCCGATGACGACACTTTTAAGCAGACTTAAGATACGTTGAATAGCTATTTTACTGATAGAAATTATCCTGAATCTATTATTCTTAACTTAAAGGTAGTCCTAAAATGATGCTCTTAAAGTACTAGTTCAATAATACCTTTTATTGTATGCTTTAATGCATTTCCTGGGTAATATTGGTGAAATCTGAAATCTAGTTTAGACCTAAAAGTGGTTCATAAACTCCATCCACCAAAGTAATGGTATTAAAGTTTGGGGTAGGGGATCTGAAGCCTAATTTTAAATCCATATGCAAATAGAACAATTTATTTCGTTACAGTTCATTTTTACTCTCAATGTAAATTGTTTATTTTTATATACTGAATGGCATTTTAGATTTTAAAAAAATTGAAGTTCTGGTGTTAAATAAACCCAGTAAGTATTTGTGTAAATTAAAATGTACACTTGAAAATTTAATGGCATCTAAAAGTGTAAAATGTTTTGTGGGAGGAAGTATAGTTAAACAGAACTTAAATATCTAAGCAATATAATTAGACAGTTAAAAAACTGTCCTGTTCATTTAATTTTAGAACTATTTTTCACATTGTATTTTATTGTCAAAGAATTATCCTTTACATTTTAATTTAGAATTATCCTTACAAGTTAATTTAAGAAAGGCAAGAACTATCCTTTACGTTTTATTTAAGAACGGCCAATGAGATTCCCAGATTTCAGTTCGTAATTTTAAAATGGCCAATAAAAGTCTTTTATATTTTGTTCTTCAAAACATTTCAGTGTAATTTGACGCTTTGTCGGTTTTTCAATAAGCTAAACTATTCTGTTAATAACGATTAATAAAAAATAAATAAAATATAAAGGAAATCCTTCTTTTGTACTATAAGAGTTTGCTTTCCATTCCGAGACTAAACTTGAGTTTGAGAGGGGCGGAATAATAAACAAATCTACATGTAAAAACAAATATTTTTATTCATTTTTTCACATTTTGTTATCAAATCGGTAATGTTGTACAAATTCATCTCAATATAAGGTATATTTAATGAGGGGAACAATCAAATGTCGCCATAGCATTGACGATGTCAAAAAGAAAATTTACATATTAATGCAAAGTTTGCGCGCGCAGCGCTGTTTTTTAATGTTCTATAAATAGATTTATTGTGGCATAGTATATAATATATGCACAATTTTATAAAATGGTCGAAGAAATTAATAAATCAGCTCTTGTTCATAAATGCTTCCTAGATAATGCATTTTCTTTATAAATTAAAAAAAATAGCATAAAAAAAGTTTTAATTTCAAAAGCTCCTTATGCCATGAATTACTTTAAAACTGTAAACAAAAAGAATTTATTGATATGATATCATATGCACGTTATTTTAATGATATATTGATTGTAATAAAATTGATATCAATTATAATATTCAATATATCAATAAATGTCATTGATATCCAATCAAAAAACTGTACACTTTTTTTCTAACGTGTTAAAAAGTAATTGATATCAAAAGTTTACAACGATTTCTCAATTCAACATAACATGGTACAAACATGTACCACGTGATCTTGTTTTGTGAAAAAAGCAAAAGTTTGATATCAGCAAAAAGGATTGAAATATATTTTTTGCATTTCTATATACAGTTCTTTTTTCATGTAAAAGTGAATCGTTTGTAATTAGAAAAAAAATAATCTTCGTTATTGCGTGGTATCCGTATAAATATGCATATCCGAAAGCATGTAAACTTGTGATGTTAGAAAATATTTCAAAATGAATAAACAATAAAGGTATTAATTAAAACATCATCTTTTAGTGTAATCTCATTTCTTTTGATAGCACCACTTGATCACGTGACTTTATGTACAAACTTTGCAAGCACAATCGCATCAGAAAACATATGAAAAATATCTGACGTTGCACTAAACTTGGTTATGGCCGGCAATCGATGTCCATTTCATCTGTTACGGCAAAGTGAGATAACTCCATATATATGTAATGGCACATTTTTATAAAAAATATTATCTCCCCTCGTTTTAAAGAACAAATATGGCGAAATATATGAAAATTGGTACTTTTTGTTCATCCATATACATATATAATGATTTTAAGGCACACTAGTTCATAAATGATATGTGATATTTATTTCGCATATGCTCCAAAAATTCCCATTGAAACACTATGTTCCCGTGCTTTATATCTGAGAGCCGCGATACTCGTGCTTCTTAGTTCCGTATTTTCACGCGGATCAATATCCTGCGGGCTAACGCTGGTCATTGGTGACGGTGACTGCGCATGTACCGGATATGCTGCAAGCGGGTTTCCGGCGTGTGAAAGGCTCATGAAGTTTGGCATGTGCTGATTTGGCGCCATACAATTGTTGTCGGGCATTTGATAGGGATTGTGACCGGCATTTGTCCATGACAGCTGTTGCATCTGAAACAGAAAAATAAAAGACTGTAAGTTATCGAAAATAGCATATCAATTAAGATATCTTCTGTGTATGAACGACATCGTCGATCATTTGTATTTAATAGGAATATAAATGCATCTTACAACAGCGGCTTAATTAGTAAAACATTATATCGGAAATAATGACCTGCCAATCTTGTTTTCCACATATTGTAATAAACATTTTTTATATATAATGTTTTTTACAAAAATCTTTTTGTTTTTGCTGCTGCTCTCTGCATAGATGTTTTAGACTGACAAAAGAGGAGAGTTTTTACACTTATCATTTTCTAAAGATGATGACAGAGTACCCATAATCTAAAATTAGAAAAAGCTAATAGAATGTACAATGAATCCCCAAAATGACACATAAACAACGACTCAAACTCATTAAATTACCTGGGAGTAAGCGTCATGTCTTGGGGATATGGACATGTCGTAGCCCGGCATGCCCGGGGGCATCGTCCTCATTGTCTGGAATTGACCATACCTCTCCCTCTTCCTCCACTTGGCCCGTCGGTTTTGGAACCAAACCTGGAACAATAGCAATAATAGATTTTAATAAATGAATGAATAAGATATTAATTATCCGCAAAAAAAAATATTGTCGGGGCAAAAAAACGGATTAAATTCAAAATTCAGGAAATAAGATAAAAATCTATTTTCTTATTTGTCCTTTGAATTTTTTATTACAGGTTCGTGTCTCAACCACTTTAGATATTTTAAATAAAATCTTTTCATTTCCTTGTGTTTTGTTTTGTAGAAAATTTAATTTGTTGCTGTTGTTGTTGTTCCTGCTGCTGTTGTTGTTGGACAACGCATGTAAAATTAAGTAATATTTCCTATTGTTCCTTTATACATAGGAGCCCTATTTTTTACCTATTAAAAATTCATTAGCAATATTTATTTTTTTTTTATTTTGAAAAAGAAGGAATATATTGCATCTTCATAACTGATTAAATAAGAACCAGGGAATAAACCTATATTGGATTACTTGATTGATAGAATGTTATTTTTAATTTTACGATGTGATGGATGAGGCATATGCGAAGTTATCGATAATACTACTGAAAATTTCAGTTCAATATTTCGCAATCTTGTTTGCTTAAATAATTCAAGTGTTCTAAATTTCTTAAGAATGCTTCACTAATTATAGTTTCACAATCATTTGACGTGGCGCGCTCACATTTCCTTTTATATAAAAAAAGAAACAATACTAATTCCTTGTGAATTAGTCTTGCTTTCCGAGGCACTATGATTCATTATATGTAATAAATGAAAGGGAAAAAAACTTATGCAGGAATTGAAAGTTTGTCGGCCGTCATCAGACAAAAATAACTCCGCCCATTTTGCAAATTAGATTTGCCTTAATTATGAATTATACCAATGTTTAATGAAACTTTACCCCCGTACAAAAACTTCAGGTATCAGACATAGTCTTTGGCTTAGTTTTTTGTAATCATATATAATCAGTTTTCATTCCTTAAAGCTCGCATGGAGTTGTATGATATACTTTGATGTGCTTCGTGCGCACGTGCAAAATATACATATGACACGCCCTCCAAATTATATCTAGTCATTAATGAAATTAAAAGGGAGGAAAATCTACGTTCGTCGGAGACAGATTAGATTCTGTTGGAATATAAACTCATTCTTAAAAGACGTTATTGCAAAATGAATAATTAAGGCGGGAAAAAATCGTACACTCAAATCTATCTTTAGACAATTTTATGTCAAAATAAAAGACTATAAAGGGCAAGTTTTGATATGCATACAATGTTTTGAAGGTTGGTGTAATTACAAACAACAATTCAAACAAGCTTTTATCGAGTCATACGTCCTCAAAGATGTGAACCATCACATTCTCGACTGTATCAAATGAAACCAAATGAAACTATGACTTTTTTATGAATCTAAGGTGGGCATCGAAGGCCACCGTGGCTATCTTGTTGGGTTTTTCTTTTTATTTCTATCATAATTGTTATTTATTTATTTATTTATTCATTTATTCATCCATTCAATTCCTTTCTTTTCTTTTGTTGTTGTTGTTGTTGTTGTTGTTGTTGTTGTTGTTGTTGTTGTTGTTGTTTTCCTACTTATACAAAACTTGTTGTAATCGGAATTTTTAAAACCAAATTCTGCCAAATATCATAAATGAACTTGTTAATAGAAACTGTTGCTATCAGGTTAAGTATTAAATTTCTTTTAAATTCTTGTATTTATTTAAAATTAATTCCAAATAACAACACAGTACTCTGTTTTGAAGTTTAACTGTTGCACCTTTCTACTTGCATCCGTTTACTATTTAGAAATCAATAAAATACAAAAATAGTTAAAGTATTCATTTTAGTTTTAGTACTTCTCTCAATTAAAAAGATCTCACGCTTTGAAAAAAAACTAAACTAAAGGTTTCAATAAAATATAATTTGTTTGTTTAATTTTAAAAACGCTGTGTCTTTTTCGCGTCTTTATTTGATGTCGCATTTTGATATTATATAATTAACAAAAATGAGCAAGCATGGTGTTCTTTATTCAAAATAAATAATTTCTAGAGGTACGTTTATCAAATGTTCTTGATATACAACAAATTGGACTCGTGACTTTTGGCGATGAATGTTGCTTTTTTCCAAATCCTCCTTTCTAAACGTACTTTAAAAATTACTCTTCATGAATGCCTTAACAAAAATAATGTATATTTTCAACAACGGAACAAACATCAAAGAATTAAACGCCCATATTTCATCATCTTGGACAGGTGACCATTGTCTATTATGTTATTCCTGATCAAAGGAAATTTATGTAACGTTTTTCCTTAACCACTTAAATCGGTCGCCATTCTCTTAAACAGCTGTTTGGAAACTATGAAAAAGTGGGTACTTCCCTCAAGCGTTGGACACTTCAAACTAATAATTGAACAACGAGGGTATGTAGAGAGTCCCCTCTTACGTGAATAATTTTTGTTCGAATACCATTCTACGTAATATTCAAAAATACATGTTTTTGTCTCGTGCATTGAGTGGAAGTTTTGAAGAAGTTAAGATGGCGGCTTGGAATCATGGCGCGTATCTTAACATGCGTTGTCAATCAAATGGAAGAGGTAAACTTATCTAAAATTGATTAGTTTTTATATATGTATTATTCATCATATCTAGAATGCTTCAAAAACGTTTTACTGATTTTCTACTGAAAAAGTTGATTATAGATAAAATTTCACAATATTTGGGCGGATATCGTCTTTTGCGCATGCGCAAAAATTAATGAACTGAAATTTATTAAGAATAGAAAGTATTTTCTATTTCTTATTTTTCTTTATTTTCAAACAGTTTAAATATCTTTATGCAGGCTGGAAAAAGAAACCTCTTGACTTTTTTTATTTGCACCGTTCTCAACTGTGAAACGAGTTCTCAGATTTTTTTTCCTGTGAAAGAATTAATTCAAAGTATTTCCGTGTAATTGAAATCTGTGCTTAAATTAAGAACATATACAATTTTATCTCGAAGTTTATTCTCATTACGCTTCTCGATATCATATCCGTATCACAATCATCATTTCGCGATTTGGCATTATCTCATGTTTTAATTACCTCCCTTGAATAGCTACATGACAATATAGCGGGGTATTATGTCAGACGATAATGTAAATGGCGATCGGGTTTCAAGTAATACAAACAAAACCACATTCTCCCAAAGAGATCTGACATCAGTGAATATTTAGGAATCTGTCAGCCTCCATCAAACGCTTGCTTTTTGTCAGTCTCCACCAAAAGCTTGCTTCCGTAGGCAGCTAGCAGACAAGATGTCTGACGGGTTACATAGTGTCCACCTTCAAAACCAAGAACACGTCACCTTGGGGCATTTTTGGCTCTAACATAAACATTTCTTTTAGAAATTTCTCAGAAAAAGTTTGAAATTGTAAACGCTGTGAAACAAGTCAATTTCGGACGTTAGAACAAATACAGTTTCTTGCGCATGCGCTTTGTGCCACTTAAATCGTGACTTAATTCCATAGATGATTCATTTCCATTTATATAATATTTATGTTCTTAATTAATTATTTTTCAGATTATATTAATAGCAACAAAATCAAAGTTTTAATAAATTGTGTTCCCTCTCATTTGACATTTCATCAAGAAAATAAAAATATTATTTATTTCTCAAAATAATTTGAAACAAGACTAGAGTATTTCTGATATGTCAGTCTGCTGGTCCGATTTATTATATTATATTTTTTACTTAAATTGTCGTTGTTGTTGTTAACAAAATATTTATTTAAAAAAAATAACAGCAGATTAGTTTCTTTCACATAAAACGCTATGTACATTATTATGAATTATCAAACAGTATTTTCACTATCATTTTATAGCATTTTGATGTTTTTTATGTACCAATATGAACCATTCAGTCGCAAGCAAAAATACCCGCATTTATATTCGCTAATTATTGTGAAATTCTCATTTCTTTGATAAGTATGATAAAATAGTTCTACATTTTCATAAGACACGCCCCTTTCTTTAATAATCAACATGTAACTCCGCCCACTCCGTCAAACTGGCGACTTGCAACATCCAGAGCAGGCGCGCGAGTGCGCTAAAACACGTTAATAAAACGATGACTGCTATAACATCAGTGTAATGATTTATCTATGTTGTAAGCGAGTAGTTTTGCTTCTTTTCCTGTCGCTTAAATTAATGAAGAAAATGACGAGCCAGAAACCCATGTTTTAACAGTAAAAGGATTCACTTTTGTTTTAAAACGTTTATTCGGTTATTAATAAAGTATCTCTTTTATGTGTTCTATTTGAAATATTTTAAATTCTAAATGCTGAAAGTTCATTTTAAACCATTTCCAGCAATACATTTATTTATTTTTTAACGAGGAATGCAACAGTCTGGTTATAGTACATGCATCATTACCCAATTGTCGTGGGTTCGAGCCATACTAGGTCACGACCATGTTCCCTCACGGTGCACCATGAATGGTTACTTAAATGAAGCGGACTCGAGAATGGTTTGAATTTCTTTTGTGCCATAATTTACAGTGACAACATATTAAGCTCTTGCTGAAAAATAATGTGTTACCGAGTCCCTTTTAATAACACAGTAACGCAATTACCTTGACAAAATATAAACTGCATGTACATTGTCTTAAGCCAAACGTAACAAATTGTTTAGGGATACATTATTTCAGGGCGCACATATTTGATAATTCATAAGTTCTTACAAAGAAATAGTGCAATCATTTTAAATTACATGTAAACTGTTCCGTTGTTGTTTCTTCAACAATAGTAACGACAAAATAATTGAAACATGTGTATCTTGCTTGAATGACATTGAAGACGAATGTCATTTCGTTTTTTCGGTAATTTGTGCTTATTCTCTTTTTATCGTAAACAATTTGCTTCGTTTTTAGGAAAACGACTTCATATTCAAAACATGTGCATTGTGCGTGTTTAGTGACATTGAAGAAGAATACCATTCATAAATTTTAAATTATGTACCGTGTGAGCCTTTTATCTTAAATATTTAAATAAATCAA